TTATTATTATTATTATCATTTGATTTATATATTTAAACCAATACCTAGGTTACACTTTGACTGACAATAACCATATTTATTGATCATTCAAATACATGAGAACGAGCATATCTACTTCATAAAGTATTAATTACAGGCTAGACGATACTAGTTTTCCTCTTTTTTTCCTAACTTAAAATATATATAAATTATGTAATTATTAAAGTAGTTTTAATTCTTAGAAATACTAATAAATAAATCGTAGAAATATGCCAATATTGCGCTCATTGTATAATTTGATTACCTTTCTGACGTCGTGTACCATCTATTGTTAAGATATGTATATTTTTATACTTTGTATAGGAGAAACCCAAAATCGATCTAAGTGGCGTGCAATGGGAGAGGCCTATGCCTAGCAGTGGACTGCGATAGGCTGATGATGATGATAGGTATTCCTGTTGGATGTCGCGTATAATACTACTTTAACAGAAACAGCAATATGTATTAGTCCGTAGTTAAATTAAATTAGTTAGTAGTAGGGTGAAGAGATTTTATGTTTAAAATAAAAAGAAAAAGTTTTTTTTTTATATATCAAGACTTTTAAACATAAAAAGTCTTGAACACGTATGAGTGTGATCCGAAAAGCATGTTCTTTTTATGACACTTAAAACCCGGGTTTTGCTTAGGTATATAGATGATTAGACATTCATTATTCTGATGACTTCCTGTTATAATAATTCTATATTTATAGACATTATTTACTATGACAAGCACGAAGAGAAGCCTGAGTTCGTAAAATTATTGATACCAGCTCACCAGCGTTCTTATATTGTTATAAAGGAGAAAATAATTTCTTGCTAAAAACCCTTGTGAGCAAAACCTAAAGAGAATCATAGGCTGGCAAAATAACATCGATTGTTTTCTTAGATTGAATCCAGAGTCGCCACATTGAAATCTCATTTATTTTTTATTGCAGATATAATGTTAAACTAGACAATAAGGTAATTCATTGTTTAATGAAATGATAGAATAGAGAAGAAATGAAGAGAATGAGAAGAAATGAAGAATGAAATGAAGTATTGTTTTTATACGATCCATACCGGTGGTTACATGTCGTTGACCCGCCGGCAAAGGCGTGAGTCTTGAGATTGTGGTGTTGAGGAAGTTTTTCAGCACATACTGTGTCTCTGGGAAAAGTCTGGAACTCAAAAGGCTCAACTGCAGTATTGCTGCACATTTTATCACTACTACTAGGTACCTTTTCATTCTTGTTAGTGACAATTGCGATGAGCAGACTGCAGACTGTGATCATTTTGTTTATGAGGAACATACTCTAATCTATTATGTATCAAGTACTAGAATATTTTCTATAATAATTCCCTTCCATCGAGCCAATTCGATGTCCTGTAGTCAATTGCAGAAATACTCAAAACCGATTAGACGAACTTAATACTTAACCATGAGTTTATTCTTCATAAAGACATTTTGAAATCAAGTTTGACACAATAACCACTAATAACACATTGTCGACGACTAGTCACTATAAATAAACATCCCGCGCGCCATCGCAATTCGGTTTACGCGCCGTTTCCTATGTTTAGAAACATATGCTTTTGCTTATCAACTCTTTGCACTTGATGTACTTAACTACAAAGTAGACGAGGCTTACGTAAGTAGAACGTTTCAAAGGTTAACAACTGGTTACGATCCCTGTCTATAAAAATCAAACCTCCCAAAACAAAATCTTGAGTATGAGAACGTATGAGTTTAAAAATTAATACATAAATAAATGAACGTGGACTATGGTTTAGAGATAATCGGACTTTGATATCGAAACTATCTTTAGCTAATTCAATTTCAATAAAAGTAATTACCTAAACAAACTATTTCAGAGCTACCGAAATTGGATGAGTGCTATGTTAACAGTTTAGGTAAATATGGGAATCAAATAGACTGTTATCTTCCGCGAGGAGTATCTGGCTGGCCCGTTCTACGGTCGATGCCCTTGGGCGCCGCAGGACCAACCACGAATGCATTTACTATTTACGGGTATTACACGTCATTTGTATATTTTGTACACAATATAATTTGTAATATCTAAAAAAGCTATCCGATAGGTAAAACAGTACGACCCCAATAAGTCCTGCCTAGAAGATTATCTCTAGACAATTATCTAATTGATAAATATAAAAACAATGAACCCATTGTAATACTGATAAAATAAAACTATTTAAAATAATCACCTGGTCTTAAAAAAGTGAAATGGAATACAATCGTATCCAATTAATATTATAAATGTAAAGGGAAAAGTTTTTTTATTTACGGAAAAGGATACAGAGGTACCCTACTATCAATCCCTAGTACCCTTCATACAGAAAATATAGAAAAAAATAACTCTAACAAAGCCGCGTTACTAATACTCGTACATTTATTAGATACAGCCGTAGTCGAATCGAGTTAATTAGACAGTTTTTATTTCTTTGTATTTTTCAATTCGTATCATAAATTAATTTATTATAAGTTTAAACTGTCTTTGGATAGCTTTCCATATCACAGTTCTTCATCACTAGTAAGTAAGGAATAAAACCCAATTAGTAATTTTACTCGTAATGATATAAGTGTACTATTAACGATTTTATGCGAGTGTTTATGTTAACGTTTAAACTTTAGCTTAAACTGTAAAAAATTATAATTTTGTTGCAGTGTACATAAAATCATGTATTTTAGTTGTGTTCTGTTAGAAGCAACATTGGTTTATAAAATGACAAAATGAGTGAGTGACAAGCGAACGCCATACATTCTCGGCGCATGAGGAGTATTGCGAGAGCGATCGCCTTCTATAAATAGTTCCCTATAAAAATACAACATCTTCCCAGAACTTCCGCATAAGGATAGGGGAATCACTATTTATTGAGTGTTTTTTTTGCATGGTTGAGCCTGTACATTTGAAACAAGTTTCTCGTGTTTCAATACACATGAAATTACTTGCTAACTGACTGATTGATTTTTCAACGCAGGGCTTAAGGCGCTGGGGCTACTAACTTAGAATTTCGGCAGCTGATGCTTTTTATGTTGTAAGGACCTACTAAGAAAGGATTGTTGTTAATTTAACCCCTAAAAGTGTAAAATCAGGGATCACCGGTTGTGTGGAGCTTCATCATTTTCAAAGTTAAAAACACGAAATAAGAAATAATCATGGGAACGAAAACGTATGCGGTAGCTAGTTATTTATAAAGAATGTATGACAATATAAATAAATATTTTACTGCAACTAATTCTCTTGACTTCCTAACCTCTCTAAAGATAATGAGATTTTATTCTATATAATGAGTGATACAGGCTAGATTAAGTGTAGACAATTCTTTAATGTGAATTCGAAGCGAATAGCCGCAGCGCGTGAATCATGAAATCACGAGGTTCATGCGGCGGCGGAAGCCACTTCCGGCAACGAACATGCCTCACGGCGACGATAAGGCTACGTGTTGTGTCGTTGTTATACCACATATACCGTGCTGTAGGCTCGTATATACATTGTGCTGCACTAGATTCGGTACTATACGATATTAGACGGAAACTGAAGTGTCAAGAAAAATACCGTACAGCCAATGCTTTATGCTTTCTTCTTGCTTTCTGTAATTTTACCACAAATACGTATAATCGAGTTCTGTTGATTTACTCGTAAGTTAATTAGGACTAGTGTGGTTTAATAAAATAAAGTACCATCATAGCAAGTAAAGAAATCTACATATTCCCACCGCAGTATACAGTGCAATAACGAGTAAAAACAAGTACACCGATGAATTATAGTACATAATTTGTGAAAAAGTATCCTTCGGATAATTTGCATGTAAATTTTAGTGGTACAAATTAGTTATCTAATATATAACATTCTCGTGTCATAGTGTTAGAAGTTGAACTCCTCCGAAACGGCTCTACCGACTTTCGTGAAATTTTGTGTGCATATCGGGTAGGTCTGAGAATCGGCCAACATCTATTTTTCATACACCTAATTTATTTATTTTTGACAAAAAGATTTGAAATAATGTATATGGCAAAACAACGTTTGCGGGGTCAGCTAGTTATATTATAATAAACAAATCTTAACCTCGCTAACTACTTCACGCCACGGTTTAATTTTGGTCTATTTTACAATTATTAAAATATATAATAAACGAGTGGTTTACCCATCACAATGATAAATCGTCGCATGACTACCGCAATACTGCCGCCGGGCGGCATAACGGCTTATGCTTAGCCCCGCTTATCTTGCAACACAATAATCAGTCACATTATATGCTCTCTATATATTTGCATGGTAACATGACAACGGAAATTAACTGCTTGTATTCGGTGTGATGATAAAGTTAGTGATCCATCATCTTGGCTGACGTTTTAAACTCTCGTTTAATGGAACATTTCCGGCCAACATCGCGCGGACACATTGCCCCGATTGTCGACACTCAGGTCAAGGGTTGACCTTTTATTGTTGAGCTATCGATAAGCGAGGCGCCGCCGCTGTCATACAACATCACTAATGTAAGCTATTACGATAGAAGCCGCTCTCTGAACGTAAACGGAGAGTTGCAAAACAAATCGATAGCAAAAAGAAAACTTATTTTTCGATTCTACTTTCGAGTAGAGAGTAGGGACTGAAAAAATAAGTTTTCTCCTTATTTCCTTGTTATCTTTCTTCGTCGACTTGAAAATACTAATTAATCTTCTATAAACGATCACTTATGAATGCATTACTATAACTATATAAAATCGCTATAAAGAAATTGATTTTAACGGATACATAATATACCAGTGAAAGGGATAAAGCTGTTATACGAGTAGAACCCGGTCATTTCTATAGAAGAAATATCTGGCTTCCTTGGGTGACTAAATACGCTTCAAGTCCGTGACATATGACTGATTTTTTCCTGCGGACATAGATTTACTTCAATCTAATCCGTCGGAGAAATGGTAGGGTGCCAGACGGAAGCTCGTCCGCGTGGTTCGGTGCCATATACTTCGGAACCATGCCTCCGCTAGCCGCGCCCCGCGCGCCTCGACCCTGGTACACACCCCCGCCGCACCCGGCCATCTCCCTCGAGGTGAATGAAACGTCTTACAGCGGATTTCTAGTATGTAAGTATATTAGGAATGCCTAACTGATATAACTCACCATTGTAAATGACTTATAGTTACTAGTACCTACTAAAGGTAGGTAACATTTCAGTATGACATTATGATCGCAAGAATTAAGTGGAGACCTTGGTCTAGTCAATCAAGTTGTATTAAATTACGAGTAAGTATGTACGTGCCGAGGTAAAAACTGAATCAGAATGTAAGAACAGGTAGAGCCAATGTATCTAGGAGAGATTTCCTTTTACATCTAGGAAATATGAAAACGGCAATATTAAAACGACTTGAGCCGAGATTGAGATCGTAAGTAGATATTATAATTCGGCAAAAAACTGGGCTGTGTGAATTTACTATATTTTTGAAGTGACATTTACAAAACGGACATGACATACAGTACTAGGGCTCAGTCAATTCAAACTTTTTAGTTAAATTAGAAATAATATAGCATTATTTCTAATTTAACTTTTCTAATTTAATTAGCTTTTAAAAGCTGTTTTTTAGAACCTTTAAAGACGACTTGTATAAAATATTATTTGTTGTTGTTTTAGGGATAATGCAGAGTGACGGCAACGGCAGCGTGCTGGGCGCGCCCTCATTGGCTCGGCGTCGCCTCGGCACGGCGGGTAGGGCAGGTGACTCATTCTACCGTCAGCTGTAAGTGTTGTACTCACATTTTATTTTGTCAATCCAGCCCAGTTTACCATTAGCAAGTGATAATGCATGTCTTTACTAACATGGCCCTGACACACATATTGCTTTTTATTAACTAAATCTGCTTTACAATTGTAACGAACTTGTAGTCGAAATACACTGACATGCTCAATCTACATAAGATAATAGTTATGAATCACAACGAAAAGGTTTGCAAACGAAATAGACCAAACCTTACATTGCACCTGAAGAAAAGAATGCATAAAAGGTTTGCTAAAAAGCTTTTAATATCTTTCGTGACAGCTAACTTTTACAGTGTATTTTCCAAAATGCTTCTTTGTCACGTTAAAGACTTGAATTCAAAATCCTCTAAACAACCTTTATTAAAGCTAAAGAGATTTTTTTTGTTTATTTCATTGTTTAAAAACGCTCTTATTTCTGGGAGTATTTAGTATATCATTCTTTTTGTATTGGTAAGAGAATAAAGGTATAACATGAAGTTACCTACGACCCTTAAGAGCAGAGGATTTGAAAATAAACTGCGGGATAATGCTAGCTAGCCTCTAATTAAAAATATATGAGACTAGAATTACAGTTGAAAGAATTAAAAAGATTTTCCTATTTCCTTCACCTTTCCTATCACAAAAATAGTTGAACGTACACCTACTGTTACGACACTGTGGCCATTGCAGATATTTCTAAAAAAGGTGTTTGAGACGTTTGACCTTTGATATCTTGTAATTCCCCAACGATATTATAAACGAATCTGCTGAAGAAACGCTAAAATAAAAGCTATTATTCGTCTTTCATTTCGAGGTTAAACCCTTATTCGATTTGTATATTCAGTTCTCTAGGCTACAATGTATATTGATGTTATTGACAATGAAATATGCGGTCATACACGCGTAGTAGAACCGCAGTTGGATTGTATTGCGTTTCTAATTCAATGTGAAATATCACATATTGCTTTTCACGGACATTCCCGTGGGTTATTTATGACTGTGATTTATGAAAATTTGTCGCTCAGAGCTCGCACTTCCTGTTCAGTAAATAAAGAAAGGAGTACTTAAGCGATTCTCAAAGTTACCGCAGCACTTGAAATTCCCAAGGAACCCTTCCTTGGAAATATTTGTAGGATTTCGTGAAATTAATTTTAATATACATGGTTATGGTACACACAATCCCGGCCAAAACGACCAAGTTACCTACTCCTTTTAAATTAACCTTATTTTAATTATTATTTTTAATTAGTCGTTTCACGCCCAGGACTAATAACTGTGTCATGAGCACGATCATTTGTTCGGTGTCTGGTTGTAATTTATGTGTAACATGTATGTATTTAAAAATATGTAAATTATGTTATCAGCAGTGGTTATCATGGCATAGGCTCTGCTTAGTTTGGGTTCAGACGGCCCTGTGTGAGAGGTGTGATTTTATAAAACTTATTAATATAATTATTCTAGGTACATAAATCAAAACTGAAATATTTTAAATATTTAATGATACATTTGCCAGCACTTCTTAGTCAGACTACTCCTATGCCATTGACTATTCTGGTCTGAGCATTGCATGCCTTTTTTTCCAAACCCTTCTAAGTGTTATTAATCTATAATGCGGAACACCTTTTAATGCCTACATATTTAATATGACAGACAGACTGATAATGTTACGATATCTATATCTACCAATTCAACGCTAACACATTTCGGGTATGAAATTAGGAAAGTATAACAATAAGCATTGAGTCGCGACAGGTAGCACCAATCACACGACTGCACAGACAACACAAGGTAGTCAGTTTCACGTCATTTAACTTTGACATATTGACATTTTGGCTAGCGGCCAATTTGAATGTATTTCTAACTTTGGCCAATCAATATTAAAGCAATGACTGTTTTCGTAGTTTTGGGCAAATACATATATTATGTATATTCGCAACTTTTAAAGAGTTTTTTTTATTTGTACTACAAAGTGGTATGGAGTGAGGCAACGTAGGTTCTGTGCGGGGTGTTGGACAACAACTCGCACTTGGTGATTTTTTATGCTTCCAAGTACATTGTATGTTTTCGAAATGCGTCGATTGATATATGAATGGGACAGACCCAGTTTACTTTGGCATCAAAGCGAAAATAAAATATTCTAAAAACAGAACTAATTCCTATTCCATAAAATATGACTGCATCAAAGCCATTTGCTGATTAACAGTGATAAAACAATCTATACTAATATCATAAACCGAAGAGCTTTTTGTTCGATTGTTTGTTCAAACACGCCTCTGGAACTATTAGTCTCGTTTGAGTAATTGTATTCTTTTTGTATTGAATAGAGTAATAATTGAGGTATGTAACGTCCACGCTACGATCTTTGGGAGCAGAGTAGTGACCATAAACGAAGGTGAAACTGCGGGGTACGCTTAGTTTATACACCCATAATTAATGATACAATTACCTATTTCGGGTCTATCAGCCAAAAAATCGTGCAGATCGACTATCAGCTAATTACAATTTATATAGAACGTACCCACCATAATATAACAACTGATTTGTTTCTTGTCTATTAGGTAATCTTTCGAATAATACCGTTATATTTGTTTAATATGGCATCTTATCAATATCAGTCTTATATTTCTTGCCAATGATTTTACAACGTATAATTAACTAATAGGTACATTATTTGTGAATGATGATTGTTTGTTCTTCCGTCTTGATAACTTAACCTTGCCTTCTCAGAACGATAACTGTACTCTTGCACTTGATTGTATTACTTACTCAGTAAATAATAAAAGACAATGAACATAATGACAAGATCACGTCTGCACATCGTAAAAGGTGAGCTCAGAAGTAAATTGATCTATTATTATTATACATGGTACATAATGATCGTAGGTGTTTTCTTCTGAATTACAAAACGCTGTGAATTATGGCAACTGTAGTCGCAACCGTGTAACGGCGGCTGGCGATAGGGATTGCTGTAACTCCTTGCCACACCACGAGTGTCATTCCTCCTCTAATCCTCCATTCAAATCTATTCGCACTGGCAGAATAAAGCTTTTCAAGACAGCTGTCTAAAGAGGCTTTATTCTGGTAGTGGCGGTTGAAGTGCCAGTGGTCCGGTAGCTACCAGAACCACAAGCTAATGCAGTCGCAATGTCTATAGTACTTACATATACTCACGCTTATATCGCCGAAAGGGTAGAGGAGAAGCGTATTAAGGACTCACATTTTAGTCCCTGGTTGGATTTTAGTCCCTACTTACTTAATAGGGGCCAGCCTATAGCGGTCAATCGGGTACTCTAGGGATCAGATGGGACCATTGGAAGCATATTTAAAGAAAAGGGTAGGTAAGATCAAAAGGCAAAACTAGGCCTACCCTAGTTACCCCTTGGTATTGCTTATAAAAATGGGTTAGGGAATACAAAGCAAGTGAGTCGGGTCGCGTACTTCTGACCCGAACTCACTGTTGCCGGAATAAAATCAAATCAAAAGTCATTTATTCAAATTAAGCTCCAGCACTATTTAAAAGTCATTGTTAACACACAAGATAGTCCCCCAAAAATGCCCAACCCGTTCACCAGGCGGGGAAGGAAGTGGTCTTCCTAGTGTTTTTTAGTGTTCCTTCAAGAAAAGTCCGTGTGTATAATATTTCTTGAATGCCGTCATTCTTATTTTTACATTCAATTATAATTTCAATATTTTGTAAATAGTATTATTAATATCAAATACCAAGTTAATAATCTTATCTATACTCGTATTACATATTCTAATGGTTCAACATTTAATTCACTGTTTAGAAAGACTTCAAACAATGTCTAGTCTAAAAAAAGAAATATATATATAACAAAACAGTTCGTCATCGGCCGGCTCAGCTAATAAAGGTGGAATAGATGAGTAATGTGTGTTTATGGCGTTACAGATCTCAGTTCTCGCGTAATGCGTAATGCCCATATACTTACCCGCATGATATCATTCGCTTAATCGCATCAGCTGACCACGTGCCTACGTTAATATACAATTTGTACCTCGCTTTTACCTAAAAAGATTGCTGAATTTCCCTAACGAATCGAGTGCAAAGTTCCCCATTAGGAAGCAGTTGCCATAAAGTCAGTAGGAGTAAAATAATAGGCAATGTCGCGGAGACTGGAAATGCAAATTGTCTATTACAAGGAAAAAGGCAAGCCTTCTCGTCAAGGCACTTGTTTTCATATCTTCTGTTCATGACACACTATTTTACTCGACTACGAGGCGAAGGTAAAGAGGGTTATAATTTGATGTTTAGGCATTATATATGTTCATATATTACTACTTATCGTAATATTTCGCACACTAAATTCGCAGTGTTTTTTACAGGGCATATAAAGTCATGAACTTAAGCAAAATAAATGTTCAACATCAAGATAAAAGTCACAATATAACTACCTATTATAAAATATTTTTCTCCTGTCTTCAATTAAAAAATAATACACTTTATGTCCAACCATAATTACTTTAGAACAAATTACCAGAAAGACAAGAACATAACTCTCATTACTTGCGGCAAGCCTCAAAGATGCTAGGAAAAATGAAAGACAAATCTGTTCGATAGATTTAGAAACACGCTCTTTGTTCAGTTACGATACGAGACTCATGTTATTTGCCTTAAAATGGTATACTTTCCGCCAATGGTTTGTGAAATAATTGCATCAATACTATCAGCAAATTAAAATTTCTAATCACAGCACAAGAGGAACATACAACCCCTTCGATTAAGGTAGGGTTGTTCCGGGTTTCTGCTTATAACCATAGTATTTAATACGTTATAAATATTTAATAGATAATTCGAAACACCCCCCCAAAAAAAGAGGTGGTGGGGCTACCTTTTAAAAGGTAATGTAAATATAGGGAAACCCCTTTTAGCATTAGCGGCGACCTTGCGATCCTCACACATAACCCGACAGCAGTGCCAAGAACAAGTGCGTAAGGTGGATGACTTCTGTAAATCGACAGATGAGAATGAGGACAAAACCTAGCA